GGGTATATTGTCCGCTAGCCATGTCTCCGTGACAATGATGATTTCAGCTTTATGCTCGTTTGAATAATATTTTAATTCATCTATTTTCCCCATAATTGATCTCGCATTTACGAGAAGCACATTCGGTAAGGTTCGGGCGGTTGGGTCATATGATGGACTCTCTTTTTTAAGGTAGATCAGGTTTCTAATCACAGGGTTAGATTTTTGTTTGTAGTACTGATAGGGACGCTCGTCACTTCGGTTTGTAGTAAAAGATCCGTTCTTGGACAGAATTTAACAGGGGTGTTTTCAGATTAAAGAGAAATTTTCAAATTCAAAGCGAAAATTGACCTTATATATTAGACATCTTACAACATCGTTAGGTCGGTTTTAATAAGAGCATTAATTACCATATTGATAACATAATGATGCTCGCACTACTTTCATCAACTCCTATTTCAACTCTCATTATGCTTAAGCTGGTTCAAATACTGATGAAAGTTGATGGTAGACCGTCTTTCCTCGTTTGACCTGTAATATCCGGTAAACTCTCATCAACTATCATCGATCCTCGTTTGATCATGGCGTAAGTTGTGAAAATTTGTGAATAATGTATATGAGACAACTTCGCATGTATTTTATTTTATCAGTTTTACCGGACACAAAGTGATAGATTACAGTATGTATACTGAATGGGGCTAGTGCAAACGGGAAATCGAGACACATTAGATTACAAGATTACAATTAAGATTTTTTTCGCCTAGTGAGTCTGCTGTACATTCAATAAAACATAACTACTAATGCCATGATCTTTATATAACGTACAAAGTACCAAATAATTACTGCAGGATTTTTAACTTTATTGGGGGTGCGGGTGCTAACCCTCATCATCTGGCCCTCGTGTCTCCAATTAGTGCTAAGTCAGAACATTTCGGGTTGCCCAGTACCTATATAAATATTATAAACTTTCGTAAACTTCGTGCTCGTTTGCTATGATTTGTATTAAACCTCAACCTATATTATTTGCATTATACATAAAACGCATGCTTTATAGAAAACCCCCAAACTGTCAATCAAATATGTTCACTTCCGATGACGTCATTTTCCCTTAATATCAAATGTTTCTCACACTCCGCAGGGTTGACAAATATATTTTCAGCTAATTCCTATTTAATATGAACAACTTATCAATGTCATTGTCATTGTCATACTTGTTCCTTATTTACAAAACGCCTGATTGCTTCAAGCATCTAAGTTGTCCAGTTATGGCAGCATCTCTTTGTCGCCGTGTTGATTGAGGTAGTATTTGCTTATCTTCTTCTTGTTGCTCTGCTACCCTCTGATCGTCTGGCAACTGTCGTACTTCTATCGGATCAGGTGCTTTATTGAACGATGCAATAATTGGGAATGGCTTGTATTTTCTCGACATATTCTGATCGTCGCTGCACAAACCACTCCATCATCTCCACATTGTAACTCTTCCACCTTTGCTAACTTCCAAAAGTTTGATTCGATTTTTCATTTCTAACGATAACTATATGTTCACGTAATGACCACAAGTATTCATTTCTCCATTGTTTTGCAAATCGCTCGAGTAATTGTTTGTGATGTCGAAGTCTCCTAGTTAATGACTTATTGGTACTATCCACTTCATAATGTTGAGTATTTGGATATGTAGTAATTCGTCGTCCATAAGGTAGATGCGACGGTGCGAGTGGATACGAGGTAGCTTCGGTGTCATCATAGACGTAGGTCATGGGACATGCATTCAATAAGCCCTCAATTTCCACAATCAAAGTTCGAAGTTCATCGAAACTACGGCTTGTTCTTCCAATTACTTTCTTTAGGGGCAGAATACATGGAGCATTTTCAACCCCGGGGTTGAACTTAGCCCTGTTTACATGGTTGAAATTTCAGCCCTGTCTGTAATACAAAACTCTATCAAAATCAAACGCACGATTACATGACAAAATTTTCAACCCAGGGCTGAGTTCAACCCCGGGGTTGAAATTTCAACCTTGTTTCAGCTAGCAGGGTTGAAATTTGAACAACAGAACGTAAACTTTGTTTGAATTCTCGTCAAGTTCGTTCTTCTTATCTTGTACATACAATGGCCCCGCAAAATCTAGGCCCGCGTTTGTGAATGGTGGATCGTCTGATACCCTACAGGAAGGAATATCTGGTGCTTGTCCATAATTATATGGCAGTCCTTCCGCTTTACGACACTAGACGCAATCCATAATTATCCTTTTTACCGCTTCTCTCCCCCTAATGATCCAAAATCGTTGGCGTATTGTAGTCAAAGGGTCTCGTATACCATTATGCTTTACTTGTTCATGAACCTCTCGGATTAATAATTCCACAAAACGATGTTTAGAACGAAGTCGAATTGTATGTCGGCTTCCCAAGCCTAAGGAAGAATTGTCGAGTCAACCCTTACATCGTATAGCGTGACTTTCATCCGTATACAACCCGAATTGTGCTCCATATTGTAGCGGTGATTTCAGCATATTCCGTTGCAGAAATTCCGATTCTTTCGCAAACGACAATTCTTGAACAGAACACAACCACACAATTTCGGCCAGTCCGATTTCTGACGCTGACAGAAATTTAAAATCTCTCGATCCTTTATCATGTTGCTTCGCTTTCTTTAACGTGTTGACGAATCTCAAAACGTAAGCTATTACTCGTAATAATTTCTTCAGATTACGAAAACGGTCGATATCGATAACTGCACTGATATTTGCGCGAATCACATTTGGTTCCTCACTGGTATTAGGTGGAAGCTTGCTTGTTGGGCCTTCTACCGCTTCGCATAAAACGTCGTCGTCGTTATCAATCGTACATTTCTCGGGATTGGTCTGCCACTGGTTTTCCGATTGGAACTGGAAATCAGGACCCTTTAACCATAATCTTTCTTGACAGAGAGCCTTAGCGGAGATTCCTCGTGACGGTAAATCGGCAGAATTGAGTATACCAGGACAAAAATGCCACATTTCTGGTGAGGACAATTTTCTTATTTCCGTAACACGATTCTGTATGTACGGTTTCCATAGACTTTCGTTTCTTATCCAACAAGTGTTGCAGTTGAATCAACCCAATAAAACTCTTGAACATTCAACGAAAGAGCCTTCGAAATGTTGCTCTCAAGCCTTGCCAAAATCGTTACTCCCGATAGCTCGAGTCGCCGTATGGTTTGTTTCTTGGTGGGAGCCGCTTTGGCCTTGGATACTATCAAATTAACACCAATAGTTCCATTCTCGTAAAGAGTTCGCAAGTAGATAACAGTTGCGAATGCGCGTTCTAAAGCGTCGCAAACACAATCAATCTGTACTATTGCCGGTTTGAGTTTTGTCAGGAAATAACATCTCGGTATTGGAACTTCGTTTAAGAATGCTAACTCTGATCTAAGATTGTTTATTGTTGCGCACATCTTCTCGACCACTTTCTCATTACAGCTTGTCTTAGCTAAACACAGTTCTTGAAATAGCATTTTCCATTTACTTGTGAATTATGGCGTTTTCTCATTGGCAACGATTTAGCGTACTCTTTAATTCCTAGAAATTGAATAACAACCTATCCGTATAAGTGTCTCAAATTTTCCCCAGAATTTTTGTTTGTGTTTTATTTGCTCGTGCAGATTCTTGTGCTATCGATTCTTTCGCATACGATAAATCCTCCTGGATAACGCCAGGTTGGTTGTCTGGCGAGCTTGAAACGACCTTATCTTCTAAGGCATTGATAGAATTCATCAAACTACTCGAATTTGAATGCCACTTAAGTTGAATCCGACGGTTGACATTATTTCTTTGGATTCTTCGTAAATTTGGAAAGCCTTTTCATCCGTCTGCGCACCCGACACCAGATCATCAACGTACAGCGATTCTTGTAAATGTCCTACCATTTCTGGATTGGTCTCTTGCAAAGTGTCTAGATGATGATTAATAGTCGCCCCTAGAATAGCTGGGGACGGCCTCAAACCAAACACTAATCGGCAAAATCGTAATTGAAATAGTTCAGGGTCATGATGTGCAATGTTCTTGAACCACAAAAAACGTAGCATATCGCAATCTTTGTTGCTGACCCCGACATTAGAAAAGCTTTTTCAATAACCGCCACCAATCCAACACGATTATCTCTGAATTTTACAAGCATTTTTAAAATCCGAGGAATATAATTAGGTCCGGTCGACAAACATTTATTAAGCGAATGTTCTCGATCAGCTGTCGTTGCCGAACCGTCGTAGGCTACTCGTAACTTGGTCGTGACTTTGTCATTTCGGATAACTCCATGATGCAGAAGCTAATGCACATCATTCTTGTTGTCTTCTTGATCCGGAACCTTTTCCACGATACCTGCTTGGATTTGATCTTCGATGCACTTGTTATACTCTGACAGTAGCTCTGGCTGTTTCTTTAATTTTCGGTGAAGCAAATTTAAACGATTGTAACAGCGATCAAAATCATTTCCAATTTCCGGTCGATCCTCAATCCGTGGCAATCCAACCTCGTAGCGTTCTCCTGTGAATCGTATATCTTTCAAGAAATTGCTTCCGTCAGGGCTACCTGCTTCCTCGGTCGACTTAATTCCGATACTTTCGGTTTCCCAGAAACGTGATTGTTACAGTACTGCTCAGAAATAGCCTAACACTGCGTTCGCGTTCCGAACGCGGTCGGAACGCGGACGGAACGCGATTGGAACGCGGTCGGAACGCGGTTGGAACGCGTTTCAGAGGAAACTTGGACACGCGTTCCTCACTTTGGCTAAAAACCGCGTTCTCGCATCGGAAAATCCCGACACCGAATGAAACATGAGCTACTGTAGGTTTTGACAGTTGACAACTATGAACAATTAATATCAAGCTTCATCTCGGGCTGAAATACCAGCCCGGTTTGACCCAGACTGAAACTCGACACAGTTCGGGGCTTCGGGCAGCATGTAATCACAAATAATTTTTAAAAATCGTCTTAATGGCCTTGTTTAGCGTGTTTGTTTCAACTGTATATCAATGTAACCATAAACACACAAATCAAATAGCCAAAAATGCTTCGAATCGCGATCGTGTCTTTCAATCCGAGCTAGAAAGGTCTGTGTTGTGCACAGGCTACATTTCAGCCATTTAACAACATGGAATGAAAATAGTTCCGACTAAAACTCAGCCGGCTCAAACTGCTCACGGGCAATCAAATAGATCGCTATCAAACGTGCTGAAGCAAGCGTATCAGGTAGCATACTTGCTACAGTTTATTTTAAATTATCGCCGCTTGTGTATTTTTTTTACGCATAACTAAGTCATTACACATGATTATAAAGTATAAACATTTACAATTAGTCAAAATACTAGTGACTGTGACATTTTTGACTGCCCAACATCTTGGGTCGATTCTATAATAAGTGCATGCTTGCAATATACATTTACTAACAATGTATCAACTTATGATGATGTTTCCTTACTGTGGCACGCGAATACACACATATCAGCAATAAACATCGCTTGCGTACTATTGTTGCACGAGTTAAAATTGAAATTATCTGTATTTCTAGTCTACAGGATGGCTAATAAACTGAACGACCTCCTTACCTTGTGCTTTCTCCGGTATTAGTTTATCCATTTAAAACTCCTCCTGTGATCACAGAAACTTTGAAGTGTAAACCGGGTTTAGTCTGATGATGATTTCGAACACTGTGATATTTTGGCTACCTCTTTCGAAAATGAAATTCAATAGCCTATTCAACACACGCGTGAGTAAATAACTTTTGACAATAATTTCCATAATTTCAGACAATACTGTTAAAGTCATTAAAATTCCTTCAAAACTGTTTTTATTTATTTTGATGCCCTTTAGAGTTTTGTGAAAAGTGCGAGCATTTTCTACATGGTCATCAGAAACCTGATGGCGAATAGAGGAAATTAGCTAGACTGCGTTTTGGTTTGTCCCGGAATATTGACCACGCACATACAAGTATGCGATGTATATACATCATAGGTTATTTTATTTCGCGAATCGTTAGTGGAAAGCGAATATAAAAACGCGGTTTCATGCTTTATAGTGTGAACACAAAATATGCAAGTGGGACTGACTAATACTCGGAAAATCGCGATGATTTCCGACGATGTCCGGTTTCGATACGAGTGTAACCGGAACGCGTTCCGCAGATGCGTTCCGGTAACAGTCGAACGCAAAAGTAGCGCAAATGGAACGCGAATGGAACGCGAATGGAACGCGAATGGAACGCAACGTTCCGGACGTGTTCCGAACGCGTTTTCTGTTAGGTTATTTCTGAGCAGTACTGTACATATCAAACAAATTGAAATATAATACTCCGGAACAAACCATGAAAACAAGAAACTGAAAAATAAGTAATAGTGTAGTTTCAATAGTTCTTTCATTCAAGACAGTAATAATTTTCGTGTCATATATGCACTTTAACAAAGTTTGTTCAGGAAGTGCGAGAGCAAAGAGGACCAAAAAATTGCTGAGAATGAGACGGAAGTAAATTATTTATGCAAATTATATTCATAAAATAATTAACAATTATTCGCCGTAGGCGAAGTGATTACCGGTGAATATTCACCGAGACGAAGTCGAGGTGAATATTCACCGTAATCACTGAGCCCGAGGCGAATAATTGTTTTAGTATAAATTTTTAATGAATAAAACAAAATATCCAAATATTGGTTCAATTAAGATTCAGAAATAGAACTGTTTCGATCGGCCTGTTCAACACGCTTTCAAAATGGGTTCTTGCATGACTTTATTGCTTTATTACAAAGTTATTTTTCTCAACTTCTGCTTAGAATATAAACACAATAAGGGAATGACTTTTTCACCAGACTTAGAATTAAAAAATAGTTTCTGTTTAGCAATATAATTTCTTCAGGAAATGGCTGAGAAATTTGGTAAAATGAATTGTAAAACAAAGTTCGAAATAAAGTTTTAATAACACTTTTCACTTTACAAGTTTCGAAAACACAATACAGCAGTCAGAATTCCATACAGAACAATGAAAACATGACATATCAAAAGAAATAGTATCGTACAAATTGAGAAATCTATAGGATACAAAACAAAATGGATTTAAAAGAATATCACGGCAAGTTTTTCCCATTAAACAGTCGGGATACTTTTTGCAAAATTTGTTTGAGAACAAAAACTCTGGTTTTAAATAAGACTATGTGCACACGGTAACGTTTTCGAGCGTTTTCAGCTGTAACGTTTTCAAAGAGTGTCGTTTTCAAGCCGTGTCCACACGAAAACGGATGAAAACGTCATCTTATGACGAAAACGTTCTCAATGCTAAAAACGTTTTCGGACAAGCGTTTTCACGTTGAAACGCTAAAAATCCAAGATGGCGGCTTAAAATCAAAATGTTATATTTTTGTTTCCTGGAAGCTTAGATCTTTCATTGGATCATTAATTCTTAAGTTAAAGACTTTAGCAACAAATAAAACAAAATGTATAGCCTTTCAAATGTATAATGATTTATGAACGATTTAAAATGCGGTTTGCTTTCGAAGAAGCGACAGACTTCGTATCGGTGATGCTTAAAACAGTACATATAAAACTGTTTACTTTATGATGAGCAGAGAACATTTTAAGAAACTCGTTGACAAGTAATGACTTTATCTGGTGGAAAATGAATGGCGATAACAAGCCGCTAGAGATGGAATTTTTATCGAGACAAACATTTGCATCTCGTGAAAACGTTTCCGTGTGGACAGAGCGTCAAACTGACAAAATTGGAAACCTCGTTTTAGAAACGCTCGGAAACGTTACCGTGTGCACATAGTCTAAGTTTTAAATTGTCCCTGAATATGTTGGACACGTAAATAATAAAGGAATCCTACCTTTCAAGTTAAATACAACAGTTTGTGCTTCTTTCGTTTTCTGGGGGACGATTTTTTCAATATTTTGTCGATTTTGAAACCAAATTTGCCGAGTCATTCTTTTTGAAAAGCATTATTTACTACGCAGGTGGTAAATAGTGCCTCAGAGTTACCAGTCAACCTAGCCAATTAGAACGCGCGAAAGCTCATTTGATGTGCAAAATTTATACTAAACACGTTTATAATATAGCATTTGTAAATTCTGAACGCTGTGTGGCTAAGAGCCGTGTTTAAGAACTCAATAGAGACCTTAAGATTGACGTTTACGGCAAACGTCAAACCGCTAGCGAAGTTTTTGATTTTACAGCTCTATTATTGTAGCTTTTACACCAGTTTTGAAATATGTAAACTGATTAAACTTCTGCTCTTTAGCAATGATTTAAGAAAGAAAATTAACCACTAGTCATGCTATTCACCAAAGCTGTAAATTAAGATTTGGCGTTTGAAGTTGACGTTTGACGTATAAATTTCATGCTTTAACGACTACAAGCCCTCGTAGCAGTTCAAGCATGAAATCTATACGCCAAACGCCAACTTCAAACGCCAAATCTTAATTTACTGCTTTGGTGAATGGCATGACTAGTGGTTAATTTGCTTTCTTAAATCATTGCTAAAGAGCACAAGTTTAATAAATTTAACATACTTCAAAACTGGTGTAAAAGCTATTATAATAGAGTTGCCAAATCAAAAACTTCGCTAGCGGTTTGACGTTTGCCGTAAACGTCAATCTTAAGGTCTCTAATGTCAACACGGAAACGTCGGAAAATTTCTTTCTTTTGTGTTTCTTTGTGCTATGTTATAAAACAAATATAAAATATTTTTCCGTATTGATATACAGTTGTGTCAACACTCGTAGAAATTGGGAAAACTCGAAATTGTGTGAAAACACTCCGCCCTTCTGGCGTTGTGTTCCCACACAATTTCTCGCTTTCCCAATTTCCACTCGTGTTGATATAACTGTCTATCGACAGTTCAACCCCTTTTAGCAATTTTATAGGTTGCGAACTGTAGATAGTGTGGCTTCTATAGAGGAACAGTTTAATAAGCTAAAGGAAAATATCGAGTTCACAGTGCCATCTTTGATAAATAAAATTACAGAGCAGACCTTAATCATCGATGAAAACAAAGAGGAAATATGTAAATTGACCGATGTCAATTTGCATTTGGAATCACGCGTAGCTAAATGGGAGGGAAAAATTTTCCCAAAGGATGAATCTATTATTTTAAATAATTCCAGTGAAAATATTAACATCACCCACAATAAACTAGAAAATAAATCCCAATCAGCAGTTTCTACTGAACTTAATAAACTTAAACATGGCTGTCCAACCACTACATCGCAGAATGTTGAACCTAAAGTTGCACCACCAAACGATACCCCTGTTTATTCTTCAGACCAACTTGAGCCTGTAAACAATACGAAGAAAGTTAAAACCTCCAAGTTTAAAAGAAAAATAAAGCCATGATACCGTGCCCTTTTTTGAAAAGGCAAGGCTATTATTTGAAGGGCCCTAGATATGACTTCCCGCACAAGAATATCCTGCCTACCGCATACGAATCGGAATTTCAGCAAAATCCTACTAAAAGGCCTCCACCCTCCAAAATACCACATCTCCATGGCAACCAATTCTCTTTTCCACCCAGTCCGAACTATTTTCCTTGAATTCCATCATTCGATGTTTCATCCTCCGTTCCCGATTTTCCAGTACCAGTACCCACCACAGTTCCATCACAATTTTGTAGTACCGCCTGGACCCAAACCCGTAGACTCGACAAGACTCCCGTCACTTCTATCTCTATCGACAAGACCTCCAGTTCACTGAAGCTCGAAAACTTTTCGGGATCACCTTAATCGCGAGAGAAAGACCTGCCGCTCAAAGTTTTACGAAGCTAAAGTCAAAGAATTGAAAGTGCCCCAGCAAAATTGTGGAAGGAATAAAGAAACTTAGTGGAATGGCGGAATAATTCACAACCCCCGAAAATATTATATCCCAACTGCATAATGTGGAATTTAGATCGACTAATTCGATGACTTGTGACCCGACCCTCACCAACTCGCCAACTTGATAAATGAAGCATTTCTCACACCGACGAAAGACTTCAATCCCCTACCTCCAAATAGTCCGCAACGAAATGTCGACGAAGATACAACAAATTTCCAAGTTAACGAACTTCACGTCTTTAAAAGCTTATCAACCTTGAACTCAAGTAAATCGATGGGACCAGATGGCATCCCTGTTTGGGTTCTTAAAGAAAACGCGGATATTTTACCTCAACCCATTGCGGACATTATAAATAAATCATACAGCGAGACACATCTCCCATTATCCTGGAAGTCCGCTGATATTGTATCTATCCCGAAGGAAAAACCAGTGCGTGACGTAAATGACTATGTTGTGTACTGTTTTGTCAAACCAGCTGTACTTAAAAAAGAAGATCCCAATCAGTACGGAACGATTCCTAATTCAAGCACCATGCCCTCGTAAGCAAGCTTCATTTTTGGAGCGGATCAGCAGACGGAAATGGCGGATCAACTAGAGTGATGCTCCCCCCCGTCGCCAAAAAAATTTCGGAAAAAAATTTCGGTCAGTGCACCATTTTAGGGGTCAAAAAATTTTTCCGGACATACCAAAATTTTTCGTTACATCTTAAAATTTTTCCGGACATCGCCCATTTTCTCCATTTATCAAAAAATTTCCGAATTTATCAAAAAATTTCCGAATTTACCAACGTCGGAAACTTTGACAATTTCCGACAACGTTGTCAATTTTCTAAAAATTTCCGACAACATTCACAATTTTCCGACGGGTCTCCACAATAGGGGGGCCATGTCCCCCTCTGCCCCCCCTCCCCGGCCACGGCGCCACTGCGTTTGCATCCGACCAATCTTGGAGTATGCATCCCCAGTCTTCCACGACAGTCTAAACGCCTATCTATCAAACGATCTCGAATTATTATTATTATTAATGGTTTATTATAAAATCGTCGCGCTCGATTAAAGCGAATTGCGAAATTATTTATAAACTTTAGTTAAAAATATTAAAAAGTGCCTTGTGTTACTGACATTATATTATAACAATAGTTTACTGATCTATGAATTAATATCGAAAGAACTTTTAAATTTACAAGATTTACAAAATTTATAAATTATGTGATTGAATACATATAGTAGGAAAAAAGGAAACAATGTTAATCTATTTCCGTACCTTAAATTACAATTGTGTTCATTGGCCCGAGAAGGTGGTATCTGACAAGTTAATGGTCAATGATGAATGCCATACCGGACAGCAGTATTAAAGCAGGGATCTATTAAGTGCAAAATGTATTCGTAGTAAATGAAACGGTGAAACTCCACTGCGCTTGAGAACTCGTAAGATGTGTAGTCTTTTTGATGCTTTGGTTACTATCTCACTGATATGCAAATCCCACTTCAGATTATTCTGGATCGTTAAACCTAATACTTTGTGGGATTCTATTCTTTCAAGACTAATGGTTTCAACAACTAAGGTGGGTGGTGGCTGTTCAATATCTCGTCGAAAGGAGACAATCATCTCTTTACACTTTTTGGGGTTCAATTTCATATTATTGGTACTTGTCCAATTACCAATTGTGTCCAATTCGTTTTGTAGTATAGATACCTCCCTTGTTGGAACGATCTCAGATATCGTCACGTCGTCTACGTACTTCCAATTACTGGAACGCCGGGAAACTATTTTCAAATCATTAATCATTATGAGAAAAAGGATTGGACCCAATTTGGTACCCTGTGGGACCCCAGCACTAGTTGAAAGCCATCGGGACACGCACTGTCCCAGCTTAACACTCTTGCGGCGATTTGAAAGGAAGCTACAAATCCAAGGGATTATTGAACGGCGCACTCCCAAATCGATCAATTTTGTTATAACAATATTGTGATCTATTCTATCGAAAGCTTTGCTAAAGTCCAGAAAGCAAGCTCTAAGGTAATGACCTGGGTTGTCCATTTTAGAAAGCCAGTTGTGAATAAGATCTAGAAGGCAAAGGGTGGTAGATCGATGTTCCCTTCAGGCTGCCATACTGAGATTATCGATTTGTCTACCTATGTCCTCAACCATCCAACTAACCACAAAGTCTTCGAGTACTTTCGATAACACAGGGGTAAGTGCGATGGGGCGGGTATCGCTCTCAACCTGGGTTTGCTTCGCTTTAGGTATGGGTATGATGGTAGAATCGTTCCATAAAACAGGTACTAGTCCAGAGGACAAAGATGTATTAAATATTGATGTAACTGGCTCAGCAAGTTCGTAGGCGAACTCTTTTAAAATTCGTGGTGGAATACTGTCCGGGCCCATAGCCTTATTAGTCTGAAGTTTTAAGACCTTACTACAAACCTCATGAGGAAGAATTGTAGGAGGCGGCACCGCAGCTGGTAAGAATGTTGGAAGGCTTGAAATATCAAGTGGCGGGATATCACTTGCTACACTTACGAAGTAATCATTTAGAGAGACTGCCAGTTCACCTTCCGATAATAACTGTCCGTCACGCTCAATTGTAAACTGAGGTTCACTTTTCGCTCGACCTGACATTGTGTTAATAGTGTGCCACCATTGACGGACATCGTCTTTTCGCAAGTTATGGATTTTTTACGTATAGAAATTATTTTTCCTGGTTTTAATCTCTATCTGGACCTTCCGTCTGTATTGGCGCCACAATTGTGCGTCGCCAGTGTGGAAAGCTAGCACGTTGGCGTTCTTTAATATGTTGCTTTATGTGCCCAGTTATCCATGGTCTGTCCTTGGGATGAAATTTGATTGTGTTCACTGGAAAAATATGATCGAATGCAGTGTTCAGATCGTTGGTAAAAGATGACGCTAACTCACCGGACGATGGATTGAGTCCGAGTCCACTAAACCATTTATTCCTGGTTGACCATAAACCAAAACCATTCCAACCTGACTGAGGATACCGACGCAAAGTCCGCTTTGTACACGTATTATTATTATCCTTAAAAATGTCTTTTGAGATCCACATGATTACATTATGGTCGGATGTTCCAAGTGGAGCAGAAATATCCGGTGTTTTGTAAAAGGATTTCAAGTTCGTAATAATACAGTCTAAGATTGAATCTTGTCTAGACGGACGCGTGACGACTTGCTTAAGGTTGTGACTTGTAACTAAATCCTGTATATTGAGACGATTAAAATCGCCTAAAATGACTATGCCACAATCAGGGT